AGATAGATAGATAGACAGACAGACAGACAGACAGACAGACAGACAGACAGACAGACAGACAGACAGACAGACAGACACAGAGAGAGAGATAGATAGATAGACAGACAGACAGACAGACAGACAGACAGACAGACAGATAGATAGATAGATAGATAGATATTTTTAAGTTGCTGTTCCAAGCCACATCTTGTATTGTATTATCTGACACTGATGTTCTGGTATGTAGTGAACTTGAAAAAGTTAGAAAATGTAGCTACTTATAAAAAGAGTTTGGAGAATCCCATTTGGGCTACCCAAGAGACTAAGAACCAACCCGGGTCTCCGGAACACATGAGACTTCTTCCTGATACTGGGCTCATAGGAGCAGCTATAAGTGGCCTCCCGGGAATTACTAAGGACTTGAGAAAACAATTCAGCTCCTTCCACACGAACAGGACAGACTGGCGTTCCTTCTGGTCCCCCTCTACAACAGACCCCTCAAAATAGAGAAAAAAAGTCCCAGGGTGCATATTTAGCAAAATTTATCACTCTAGCATCTGTGCTTTTCACCCATATCTAGCTGCGAAGCTCCCCTTTTTATTTTCAAAGAGGAAAAAGAATCCAGGAAGCTGAGCAGATACAGTCTTAGACAAAAAGGGAGCAATGGTCTTTCCAACTGGATGCTTCTCAGTTTCCACGTCTCACAAGAAAGTCTTATCACTTACAAACTTGAAAGCTGACATCAATTGTTTGAAAAGTCTTTCTATCAGCATACTATGCATATATTTCCTATCATACTAAGCATAATCAGGAATAATTCAAATGATATAAATATATATATATATATATATATAATGTGTTGTGAATTAACAGTTTTTTAAATTTCATTCAGCACAGCATCACAAATTCTAACAGCAATTTCTCAATCCATTCAAACTGGATTCATTCTCAGCTTTGTACATGCATTAGTTTTGGCAGCCCTGCTTGTCTAGATTATCGATTGCCATGTACTAAAGCAACAATATGTCAGCTAACAGTCTTTCAGAATAACTTAAATGTTTTGGCAAAGTGTTTAGAGTATAATTTGCTATTACTTATTTCATGATTAGTTTTGTTGAATTATACTAGAAAGACTTGTTAAAAGCAGGTAGTTCTATGTTTTTGTCAGAGCAATTTAATTCCTTGATTAATAGAAAATATCTACTGATTAGAAAAATGGTCATTGTCAAAGAAAGACATTTCACATCTTTTCATTTTAAGCTATTTGAAGATTTCAAAAAGGAACTTCCCATCACATCTTATTTCCTTCATTACTTCTTTCCCCACATTGCTACCCGTTTGCAAAATACTTTTTGCTTACTTTTTCATCGGCCTAATGAAACGAGAAAATTGGATAGAGTAACTGAAAGAAAAGCCATATCCTAATTCATTCCCTTGATAATATGATGAGCTAAGAGAGGAGAGAATCTTCAGAAGCTATGTGGAGAGTAATAATTGAGCAGCCACTTGCCGTATTCCACCACCTCTCGCACACAACACCCCACTATTTTCTCCTAATTGCTATGAAATAAGCAATTTTGCCTCCACTCAGTCTTGCAGAAAATGAGAAGAGAACTGGGCTGGTAATATGATTTGCCCTTCCCTCTCCCACTCGTGAGATGACAGCTGTCTTCAGCGATGTGGGGTTTCGCCAGCCTTTTCCACGAACTAGCTGTGAACCTGGGTAAGCGTGATGGAGAAATTGCTTCGGCCTGGTTAATATGACACATCTTCCCCAGTGAATGTGACTTTTGACAAATGAATGGTGTTATGCTGTGAGTTGTCACCAATTTTACAGCCATGACTGCAGGAGCGGGGGGCCTACCGTGGGGTTTAGCATCTGTCGTGTGTGCTGGTAACTGGGGAATCGGTTACTGCTCTTCCAAGAGAGGATTTATATTGGAAAGAAAATATACCAGTTGCACATCACTTAATAAAGTGGCTTGTTTATCTGCAATTGGCTTAAACACTTTGAGAGAGAATATGCTATGTAAATGATGTTCGTATTTTCTCAAACAAGCTTTTGTCATAGCTTCATTTCTTCTTCGATGGATTTTAAATGCTTAAAGAAAACCAAGCGAGTCAGACATTAAATATTCACTTGCAATATATAAAGCAAAATGTGTGAATTATCCAGCACAAACTCATTTTCTTGGGTAACGGTTAACTGCATCTACTGTGCCAATATAGCAAGCTGTAATAATGTTAAAACAATGAAAAAAAAGCTACTGTAAATGCTAACTGTCTTTAACTACATGTAATGTAAGATTTAAAATATATTACAAATATTTTTGATTTAACAGAACAATATGTAATTTAGCTGCAAATTGTAATAGTACAAATTACCATGTAAATTACTGTGAAAATCTATTTAATATTTAACAAGATAATAGATGTACTGTTTTCTTACAGGACAAAATATGGTTATATTTATGGATAATAGAAAAAAACAGTTGCCTTAATGTCAACGAAATTACCCAGAAGTGTCTCTGTCACACATCACATTTGATTATATTTCATCTATATTAATTGTTTCTTTTTTTTTTTTATCAGTTATGTACGTTAATGGGCTTTATGTTGCAGCACTTTGAACAAATTGGTTGAATGAATGAATGAACGAACGAACGAACGAACAAACAAACGAATGAATTAATGTATGACTCACTTGCTGTCACCTACTGGTGGTTTTAGTTTCATATTTATAGTATAATTTTAAAAAAATCTATTTTTTTCTGTATTCAATTTTAAAAAATCAATAACATCAATACCCATTTATTATCATTATTTATGCAATGTTGAAACAACATATTTCTTTCTAAAGCTAAAAAAGCTTTTTTGTAATATCTATCCTAGTGAAAAATAAATATACTAAAATGTATATATACTAAAATATAAAAATAACTAAAAATATATGTTTCAAACATGTATATGAATATAAAAAATATACTAAAATATTCCTTTATTTAATGCTAAGTATGTTACAAACACATATTTATGAACTTAATTCGCTGCAATTCTACTTTTAGTATATTAAACTGGTATTCTTAAAGTCTGCTAAATTGGAACAACTTATTTTGTGCACTTTAATTGTGTGGAAGTAGTGCTGAAGTCCAACTAAAGATATACTGAAGTATATTTGATTGTGCTAAAGTGGAACTATTGCAAGTATACTTCAGGTACACTTTAAATATCTTGCATTTAAAGACAGATATTATTCAAAGATCATACAATCCTCATCAATAGTGACATTAAAACACATTTTAGGCTTAATATTAAGAAATGTGCATTGTGCACAAGTAGAACTCCAAATAAAGTTTAATTATAATTTTTATATCAGTAAGTCTCAAATGATTTGTCAGTAAATATGTTAATAGATTTGAACTATACTTAGTATGAAATAAATGTATTTCAAATATATTACTTTTGTACTAGGGTATTTAATGCATTTCTCATTTAATTTTTTTTGGGGGGGGGGGTAATTTCTCAGCCAGAATTGATGTGCGATTAATTTGCCATTACTTAGACTAATTAATTTGCACATTATGTAATTAATTATATAAAAAAAATTAATAACTTGACAGCCCTAGAAATAATTCTAAAATATACAGCGAATAAATGTCTAAAACCCATAAGTTATGTCTACAAATTTCCTGGCAACAAGAACTACAAGGGTGTTTTTACACATTGAACACTGACCTGAAGCGCAGTCATCTCCTGTATATCCCTCTTGACAGGCACAGAAACCGTCCTTACACACCCCTTTCTGGCTGCAGTTATTAGCACAGAAGATGAGAGAGCAGTCTTCCCCCAGGAAGCCAGGTCGGCACTGGCAGGTTCCGTTCACACAGGTTCCTTGATCTGAGCAATCGTTCAGACATCTGCCCAGCGAGCAGTCCTCTCCAGCAAAGGCTTCCTCACAAACACACTCGCCATCAATGCACAACCCCCTGTCAGAGCAATCACCTGGACATCGAGGCTCCGAGCAGTTCTCACCGCCAAAGTTACGGTCGCATACACACTCGCCTTCGATGCAAATGCCCTGGCCGGAGCAGTCATCTGGGCAGCGGGGTTCAGAGCAGTTCTTGCCAATCCATCCTTCTTCACAAACACACCCACAAACCTCCATACTGAACGTGCCATGGCCACACTGAGGGACGAAGTCCAAGCGACCTAAGATTGAACAAATATGTTGAAGTTAATTAAAGAAATTAATATTTCTGTCATCAATTACTCGCCATAACGTCAGGGAGAAATTGGCAATTGTTAACACTGTGACTGAATCAGTCTGGATCAGTCTGGTCAAACTGGCTTTGTGACCTAAATCAACTGATTCATCAGACTCTACAATTTTAAATTGATAGTTCACTCAAAAAAATTAAATTCTGTCATCATTTACTCACCCTCATGTTGCTCCAAACCTGTATGAATTTCTCTCTTCTGCTGAACAGAAGTTATTTCGATAAATGTGTGTAACCAAACAGTTGTTGGCCCCCATTGATAAGTCAATATGGGACCAGAAAATAGTTGATAACCCACATTCTTCAAAATATCTTCTTTCGTGGTCAGCAGAAGAAAGAAATTCATACAGCTTTGGAACAACTTGAGGGTGAGTAAATGACAGAATTTTCATTTTTGTGTGAACTATCCCTTTAAGTATATAACACTTAAATTACAGACTGTTTCTCACACAAGGCTATCATTATGTGTTCTGAAAGAAGTCACACCACTTTATCATAATTTTGGTCATCATTTTGGTCCTCACTTTCAGTATCCTGGACACTCTTTTAAACATATCTTTAAAAATTACTGCATTTCCCTCAGAGGAAACCAAGTCAAACAGATTTGGAACAAAATGTCGGTGAGTAAACAATGACAGAATTCACACTGGGTGAGCTATTCCTTTAATTTCCATCAGGTTGGACTAAAATTAACCTTATGTAAAAAATAAAAAATAAATACATAATAATTCTGAGGCAATATCTTGCAATCTTATTAGCTCCAGCAAATGTAGCCTGGTTCGATTCAGCAAACAGAGGACTTATCAAAGACTTGAGGGGAAGACCTCTCCAGCAGCAGTGCTGTAATTAATCTAGTTCACAATCTAACCTCATTTGTATAGCTTAATATGACTTTCCCTTTACTACTGCAGTGTTTCAGCTGTTTTTAGCTGCCCTGGAGGGGCTCCGCAGCCAAGGTTTGCAGGTGTGAATCCACTCGAGGGCCCTTTTGAGACGTTAAACAAGCACAACACTACCACCGTCCACAGTTCTGTTGTCCCTATGGGTCAATGCACAATATAGCCTCTACTTCACTTAGCACCGCAGTCACATCATAACCGACAGAAGGACCAGGATGCACTTTTGTTTCATCCACCGGGTACAATGAGCCAAAAGCCACTTGAAATGGATTCAAGATTAAAGAAGATAAGTTTGATTAATCCATTATAAAACATCAAGAGGCTGTAGATACACAGTCTGCATATAATATATCCTTGCTATTTGATTATGAATATGATTTATGAATATGATAATATTTATTTCATATACACTGAACAAAATTATAAACGCAACACTTTTGTTTTTGCCCCCATTTTTCATGAGCTGAACTCAAAGATCTAAGACTTTTTCTATGTACACAAAAGGCCTATTTCTCTCAAATACTGTTCACAAATCTGTCTAAATCTGTGTTAGTGAGCACTTCTCCTTTGCCGAGATAATCCATCCACCTCACAGGTGTGGCATATCAAGATGCTGATTAGACAGCATGATTATTGCACAGGTGTGCCTTAGGCTGGCCACAATAAAAGGCCACTCTAAAATGTGCAGTTTTATCACACAGCACAATGCCACAGATGTCGCAAGTTTTGAGGGAGCGTGCGAATGGGCATGCTGATTGCAGGAATGTCCACCAGAGCTGTTGCACGTGAATTGAATACTAACACAGATTTAGACAGATTTGTGAACAATATTTGAGAGAAATAGGCCTTTTGTGTACATAGAAAAAGTCTTAGATCTTTGAGTTCAGCTCATGAAAAATGGGGGCAAAAACAAAAGTGTTGCGTTTATAATTTTGTTCAGTGTAGTTCAAATCTACCGTATACTGACAAATTGCTCAAGACTTATGCTGATATAAAAGTTATAATAAAACTTTATTTGGATACTACTTGTGCACAATGCACATTTCTTATTATATTAAGCCTAAATGGGTTTTAATGTCACTATTGATGAGGATAGTATTATCTTTGAACAATATGGGTCTTTAAATGCAATATATTTAAAGTGTACCTGAAGTGTACTTACAATAGTTCCTCTTTAGCACAATCAAATATACTTCAGTATATCTTTAGTTGGACTGTAGCACTACTTCCCCACAATTAAAGTGCATTAAGTACAAAATTGGTTGTTCCAGTTTAGCAGGCTTTAAGTGTACTAGATTAGTACACTAAAAGTACAATTACAGGGTATTTGTATTAAGTACATACATATATAAATGTATTTGTAGTATACTTAGCATGAAATAAATATATTTCATACAGTTTAGTATATTTATTTTTCACCAGGGCATCCTTGGCTGAAATGAGTTTGAAATACTTGGTTTAAACTGCTTGAACAATTTTAACAAATTATTATTATTTTTTTTAGATCATTATCTGTTATATAATGAAAATACCATAACAGTAAGCATGCTTGCATGAACAAATCCAGTCAGATCTCAGAGACATCACTTTTTTTTATATAACACTGCAGGATATGCAAGCAATGTGTATCCACCTCAAAATCTAAAACGTACCCATAACAGAGCTCTCTCCGCAGCAGCTGGAGCTACACTGTGCTCGAAGCAAGGACACCTCCCTCTCCAGCATCTCTACGCGGTTAGCCAGCTGTTCCATGGCGGCAGCCGCAGGACAAGCACAGGTCTGCTTTGGGATATTGATGCGATGGGTGAAGGTCACCTGGCTGTCCGAGTCCACTGTCTCTTCTGTGTACTCTGTCGGCATCTTGTCACTCCCAGCTGTACCTTTGTTTGTCCCTGGTCCTGGTACCGTGTCTAGGTCCACTGAACAGAGTGACTCTAGAGGTACATTGATGTTGTATACATGATTGAAGATCATGGCCTGGGTCTGGTTGCTAGAGGGACCCCCGTCTTCGGGAACCTGTCGCCTCACTCTTGTGGTCCTCACTAGTTTGCTGGTGGGGTTAGGAACAGCTTGAATCCCAAAGAACAGTAGAGCCAGGCTCACTATTGAACCTTGTATTGCCATGGTGCACCCACACATCACAACTCGGCACTAGGGCGAGATCATCAACTGCACAAATAGACCTCTGATTGGCACTGTGAACAAAAATAGATCATTTTTAGCACTAGAAAACAGGAAAGAAAATAGCAGATCTTAACAATAGCAATATTTGTACTGGCCTCAACCTCAATATACTGTATACATATTATAAATAGGCAAGCAATTTTGTGTTAGAGTTTATAACATTACAAGTAGTCTATTTCATAACATTTAGTGACTTTTTATTAAATATATGACCACTGATTGACCAATTGGGTATTCCAGAACAGTTTAATTCATCCTAGGTACGATTGCACGCATGAGAGGTGGGCGTCAATTGCACTGACAGGTTAATCAGCCAATCACAGAAATGAAGAGAACATGATAGGCGGCATTATACGATTTACAGGTCATTGAGCCAATCATGACACAGCCTTTTCTCATGTGACTTTTCACCTGTATCTGGCCTGCCAGAAGTAAAGGGAGGCCAAAAGGGGTGCTGTCAAAACACTGGTATTGTTGTAAGACAGTGATTCTTTTACAAAAACAAGTTTTAAGTGTTAAGTAATCCTAAAATTATAACATTTGTTTCCGTTAACTGAAACTAAGCTGAAAATATGATATAAATATTAGATTAAAAACTTAACCTTAAACAACTTAAACAAAAATAAAAAAAAATGTTTCCTTGTCAACTAACTGAAATAAAAGAAGTTTAGGTTTAAGTTGAAGCACTAAAATGACTAAAACTGACATAAAAAAAATGACAAAAGCACAACATTTCATATAACTAAAATGTGAAAACTGGAAATATAAAAAATAAAAGCTAGTAATAAATATAATAATAGTATATACATCATTCTAAAATAAAACTGTTAGACACTGTGTCATACAGTTTTGCCTGTCTGATTCTTATCCCTCAGAGAAAATACCCTGCTGCAAAATATTATAATTTTTAGCTAATGCTTTCAGGACTATTAAGTAATTCTTGCAATTTCATCAAATCTAGACAATGTTTGTTTGGTGACATATAAATCAGCATAATTCACAAGAACAGTCTTGAGAAATCCAAATGTTTTTAGGAAGTACGGCACTTATCAGCTCATCCAAACTGTCTCACACTGGCCCCGTTTCATCAGGCCCTTTTTACAGTTGAGCACTGAACCTAGTAAAGCAAATTGATTCCATATTTTGTGCTGAAATTATTTTCTGATCATTGTAGACATTAAACCTATAAGCTTTCCCTAAAGCATGAGAAACATTTGAGTAGTTCGACTAGGAAATTTGATACAGTTCATTGATTTAGTAGAGACCTTTATATGGAATTTTCTTTAAATCTTCCTTAATCCCTTATCAGCAACAGAACTCAGGACAAGAGCAAACTGTAAAATGAATCACTGAGTCAGACTGACACCTGGGCTTTTGGGCTATGGTCAGAATGATAATCTCCTCTGACATTTTCTATTTTTAATGGATCGGCAGACATAGTCTTCCCTACCGAAGAAACTCTTTTTTGTTGCTGCTCAATCACCTGGATAAAAGTAGGAGACTTTAAAGTAAATGTATAGTGCTCTATAATTTCTTATAGAATTCATATGTAGAGAACAAAGCATCCATCCAAATCACTTCAATCCTAATCACTTCACTTTAAACTAGCAATCTAAATGTACTTTCAGATTAATTACTAAAATCTACCGAATATATGTCACAAAAGAATGAATAGTTAAGGGCTTGTGCAGTCATATATTCCTGTCACACTGTGACATCTTATTTCTATCTGTCGGAGCCTGGGGGTGTGTCTAAGTGGGTTGCTCTCGTTTTTTGCACTGGACCCTGGAGCAGATGGCTCATTAATTCCGCCTCCATCCTGCCTCTTATATTATGAGTGGCAAACTTTGCACAGAAGTGGTCTGACATTACACAGCCAATTTCGCCCTCACACCTTCTACAGAAATATAAATATAGTCTGATGAAACAAAAAATAAAAAAATCTGCACAGTAACAGTCTTCTTCACAAATATTAGCCAAAACAATGCCAGTTGTGAAACCACAAAGCTTTTAAAGGAGTATAGTTCACCCAAAAATGCTGAATTTTTCTCACCCTTTGGTCATCCAAGATGTAAATGAGTTGGTATCTCATCTGAACATATTTGTGACCCTGGACCACAAAACCAGTCATAAGGGTAAATTTTTTCGAAATTGAGATTTATACATCATCTGAAAGCTGAATAAATAAGCTTTCCATTGATGTATGGAGGTTTATTAGAATAGGACAATATTTGACCAAGATACAACTATTTGAAAATCTGGAATCTGAGGGTGCAAAAAAATCTAAAGAGAAATCAGAAAAGAAAATCACCTTTAAAGTTGTCCAAATGAAGTTCTTAGCAATGCATATTACTAATCAAAAATTAAGTTTTAATATATTTACAGTAGGAAATTTACAAAATATCTTCATGGAACATGATCTTTACTTAATATCCTAATGATTTTTGGCATAAAAGAAAAATCAATAATTTTGACCCATACAATGTATTTTTGGCTATTGTTACAAATATACCCCAGCGACTTAAGACTGGTTTTGAGGTTCAGGGTCACATTTAAAGAAACTTAACATTAGATTTTTTTGAAAATTATAATTTAAACTCCTTTAGCAGCCAAAAAATTTCCTTTTCCCTGAAGTGTTAAGTTTTGAGAAATGTCTTTCCTATGGTTTCTTAAAGTATTCTCTCTAATGGAGAAGATTAAAGAGACTTCAGAACTATAGAGAGACTACAGACCACTGAAGAGACTGTCACTCTCTCTTTCTCTGTCTCTCTCTTTCTCTCATAAAATATTGTTACTTTTTTATACATGCCGCCTTCAAAGGAGAAGTCAGACCAGGTCACGCAGACAACTCTGCATTCCCCTTCGGGAACTCGAGCTGCGTCGGAAAACGCTAGGGGAACGCCTTCAGCGATACCAAGCTCTGAATCATATGTGTAATCAGTCGAACGATGGGCGAGACGTCAGCGGCGGGTGACGTCATGACCAGGAAGCTTTAAAAGCACGTGAGGTGCAGCCGGCGCTAGCTTGTGAATCTTCCCATCCCTACTTTCTATTATTTCTGTGACATAGTTGTTTGTTGTATTAGTTGTTTTCACTCATTCATGTTCAATAAAATCAGAGGAACCGGCATGATAATATCAAAAGCTGACATGTTTGTGTAAGCTAATTTATCAATTCCTCAACAACTTCAGCCCTTTATTCACATTATGCTTTTGGTCTTGCCATTATATGACAGCTTGACTAAAACATATTTCTAAGTGTCTGGTGTATCTTTTTATAGAAAAACGTCCCAGGTTACGTATGTAACCATGGTTCCCCGAGGGAACGAGACGCTGCGTCGCAAGGCCATACTTCCGGCATCCCTACTAGAGCTTGCTTCACTCCTAAGAAGCTAGCGCCGGCTGCACCTCACGTGCTTTTAAAGCTTCCTGGTCATGACATCACCCGCCACTGACGTCTCGCCCATCGTTCGACTGATTACACATATGATTCAGAGCTTGGTATCGCTGAAGGCGTTCCCCTAGCGTTTTCCGACGCAGCGTCTCGTTCCCTCGGGGAACCATGGTTACATACGTAACCTGGGACGTTTCTCCTGTTATAATGGGCGGATGGGAAACTTTTCTTTGACTGGAGATCTTGGCAAAGCCTGTAGCCTTTGAAGAGAATGAGTGCCATAACGCTGAATGACAAAGAGGCTCAATTAGGAGAGCTCTCAATTAAATACGACAGGGAAGACCACGGGGCCCTTTGACTGTGCACTTTCCCCAATTTCCTAATGTACTTTTGAATAGCACATGTTTCTTGCTGGGATTTTTCTTTCAGTCAATGGTTGTCCACATGGTAGAACCGCAATCAGAACTGACAGCGCAGTGAATGAAAGAAGTGAAAGGAGCACAACTGTAAATTCTGCTTTGCCATCACAGGAATAAATTCCATTTTAAAATATATGAAAATAGAATATAGAATATAATACTATACATTTTTTATATAGAAATGGGGAGCAGAAGAGACATCTTTTAAAAACATTTTAAAATCTTACCAACCCGAGTCATTGGTAATGAAAATAAGAAAATAATATTTCTAGAGCTGAAAATGTATTTTATCAGTGCCAACCCTTTTAGATCCCAATAGCTATAATTGTAATGTATGTATTAACAAAAATAGAAAAATATTTAAATCAATCACTGTTGTTATTGTTAACTAAAACCATTAAAAATATTAGATGAAAAACATAACCCAAAGAACTTAAAAACTTAAAATACTTAAGTTGAAATACAAAAATGACTAATACAGAAATAAAAATAAAATGGCTAAATATAAATATAAAAAAACTACTAAAACAATGACAAAGGCACATAACAAAATTACGAAAACTTAAAATGAAAGCTGAAAATATAAAAATAAAAGCTCATTCAAAATATAAACAAATACTATAATAGTATATACAGTAATTCATTGTAATATAACACTGAAATCGACTGACATCACTATAGTTAAAATGTATAGTACATTCTCCCTGGAAACTAACAAAAAATATAATATTACAGAGCCAAGCAAATAAATTAAAGTTTTTTTTTTTTTTTTTTTCAAAGATTGGTCTGCAAATGTTCTGTTTCTAATGAATGTAAGTGATGCTGTAATTATGTGAAAGAAGAATACATGGTGGAAAGAGATGTTATAACTAAGAAAAGAACAATTGCATCATTATTGTCTGAATTTCACAATAAAAGAGCTGATGTAACATCCTGTATTGTATCACCCCTGTTCCTTGGTATTTAAACAGCATTATCTGCTTTGTGGTGAAGGCTCTGGAGCTGTTGTTGCTGATGATCAGCATTGACCTCCTTTAGAATTATGGTAAACTATGCAGAGAGTTGTGGCTGCCAAACATAATGGTATTATTATAATTTTTGAAGAGATGCAACATTGTCAGAGTTAAAGAAAGATATTAAGAATGCAAAATAATTCTCATTGCTGAAAAGAGCTTCACCTTCTTTTGGTAAAAAGTCTT